TTTAGTACTCTGAATTTATAAGTAAGTTGTTCACTGATGGCGCCAGTATATTTGAAAACTTTGAAGTGGAGCTCAAGGGAGATTTCAGTTTCCCAAAGACTCATGGACCTTTGTTTAATCCCCCACCTTTAGATTTTCCTGCTGGATTTTTGACAGTAAAATTTGGTAAGTTAAAATATTCTAATGCCCAGCAAAACACCTGAAATTGCACATCAATGGATTGTTTATATGATAATGGTAAAGTTTAAGAAAAAGAAGTCTTGATAACCATATGATCAGAGGCAAGCAATTTATTAATAAGATAATGTCAGTCACTGAAATGAGCCAATGTGCTGTCCATTTTTGTCTTTTAAGAGTAGGCTTTTCACATTATATATTTTTCCCAATAGATAGTGAAGCAATTTTAATCAAGCTTGTTACAAAGTATCCTTTGAGGTTAAAAATTTACACCTTTCCAAGAATAATTAATTACTAAATAATGCAGTGTTAATACTTCAAAATCATGAAAAGTAATAGATTGAGAGCCTGTTATGATAAAACATATGGAAGTTTTCTAGTAATCAAATTATGACACTAGGGATAGAATAAAATCAAAGGATTCAGCTTTCATTCATCATAAATTTAGCATTCCCTCATCGTTTAGTCTGTATTTTAATTAAGTAATTCCAAACTTCAAGTGATTAATTAAGCAATGATTTAGTCACTTTTATTGCTTAAAGAGCAAATGCTGGCTTTTGTCAGCCTAGCTGTTCAAGCAGGACTTTGACCGGACAATTGGTCAATTTAATTTACTTGAAAACAATAAGCAGACCTCATACTTATTGCACATACTGTACATACTCGCTGCAGGGAATGATTCCACATTTCAGCATCACTAAAGTTTCTAGTCTCAGAATATGAATTGTGTCTTGAAACATTGCAAAGAATATTGCTTCCTTAATTCTAAAGAAATGGACATACCATTATGTAACGATTGACATTGGATAAAAAAAACAAAAACAAAAAAATAGTACCACATCAGTGCTTCATTGTATTTGAATTTCTTGAGCATTGTGATCTATGAATGTTTCTCTACATTCAGGATTTGGAATAGATTACTACTATGGTGTAAAGTTTGCTGTTGGGGCAAAACTCATGGAAATGAAAGTGACTGTATATTGTGAGCCCTATGGAGGATTGGTAGTCTGGGGAGAGTTAGGAATAGGTTTTGGTATACTGTTTGCTAAACTTCGACTTGTTGGAAACATTATGGACACTGCATTTCCATCTACTGCAGAAGTTTTCTACAGAAGATTTCCATTAGATGTTACGTAAGTATAGTAAAACATGCTTATAACAAACACGATCATTATGATCAAATCAGCATTTCAAGCAAATTTATATTTGTTTCCCTTAGCTTTAAAAGTGAAATTAATAAATATAACAAATAATGTTTATGACATAGCAAGGTTTTTTGTCCCTGGAACTTCGTTGTATGTGTTCAAGCTCACCCAAGCAGAAGGCTCAAATGAACTTTCCTGATCAAAAAGTGTCGAGTTGGTGTACCATTTGTAAACCGTTCACAATTTCAATTTCTAATTAAATATAGAAGTATATAGATCAATTTAAAACAAGTTAGGATGCAGTCATAGATGAAAGCAGTTAGTGTTGATTGAAGTTTATTTTAAGTATGAACCCTTCGCTTAAGGTGGGCCTTAATGAGCAATCAAAAATCAAAAGTTTTCACTGAAATTTATAGGGTAAAAATTTTTATAAGAAAAGAAGAGTCATTGTTAGTCATACTTAAATGGAAACATACTTGTTGACAAGTAATTACCGTATAAAGTCGTATATACAAGGTAAGTCAGTCAGTCTACAAGTCGGTTATAATTTTTTTGCTGTTTGGGGGGGGGGGGTATTTGCCCTTGACCCGCTTGACAATTTTTAACCAATGCACTGATTAGTAATGCACAAAAAATATAAAAATAAAACTACTGGAATTTATGAATACTTGTTCTTTATGCATTAAACACATAAAATGCATAGAATACATATAAGGTTTGATATATAAAGACTTTGTTGAACGATGATATGAAGATTGCTTATTAAATACTATCTTTCGTCGTCCAGAAAATACCAATCTTTCTACATGTGACAATATTAGTTGGACACAGCGTTTTTGACCAAATTTTACCCCCAAAAAACTGACTTATAGGCGAGTATATATGATAAGTTTCAAAACCGCTCAAATTATGAATTTGGAGGGTAGGATGGGGCTACAGAGAAGGTTTGGGCTACAATATAATGAGCTTATATAGAATAGCAGGGCCATGGTGACTCGGGTGAAGATTGTTGCCTCATGTTTAATCTTCTTTTGTAAATGTATAAAGCAAACTAGTTTATTAGAATTTATATACTTTGCAACAGTTTTTATGTCACAATGTACAAGGGATAATTACTAGTAGTGTATAATTATGCCCCCTTTGAAGAAGGAAGGGCATATTGCTTTGCTGCTCTCTGTCGGTCCACCAAGTTTCCGTTCATTTGAAATGAAATTTGGAGTACGGATTTATCATATAAGTATCTAGGTGAAGTTCAGTTTTGGGTACAATCGAGCAATTTAAGACAAATTCATGTCCCAAAAGACTTCCAGAATAAAAGAAAAAAATCAATTATTTGGGGGAAGGGGGCATAAGTGTTTTACAAGCATTTCTTGTTGAATAATTGGGCTTCACAAGATTTGGTTAATGACAAATGAAGTTCAATTTCCAGTGAACTTTTTAACAGTATTCTAAAACATACAGTAATATACCTTAATTTCGAAGATCAAGAAAGGTTTTTTTCAATAAGTGGCAGTATAAGTTTATCTGTATGATCATTTTGAATACTTTTTAACCAATACATTTTATTACAGGTTAAAGATATATTTGAAGCTAATCCCAGTAAAACTCAAACTGCAAGTGCTGATAACTTTGGATGTTACTTATTTTACGCTGACTTTATTCAAAGCGAACATATGGGAATACGAAGCACCAACCATTCGAGCACCAGTTATCGACAATTCAAAACCTAAGGAAGACAAAACACCGCCACAACTTCAAAGCTTTGGAGTAAGATTATTTTTTAGCTTTATTGGTTAAACTGCATGCCTATTGCCAAGATTCATTTTGATGTGCATCCTGTATAAATTATGCCCTAATTTTGCTCAGCTAGGACACATGAATTTAATTTGCAGCTCAAGGGACACAGCAAAATTAAACAGATGTGAGAATTGATTTCATTTTAAAATCAAATTATGGTTGATTGATTTTTTGGGCTGGTAGCAATATATTACCGGTAACCTGCTGAGCAATATGCCTGAGCAATTTTTTGATACTTGGCCAGAAATGCAATAGATTAGGTTTTATACCTTGCTATTTTTTAAGTTAACAAACAATTGTCAGGGAATATCTGCAAATGGCTAGTTGGCATAATTTAATTACTGTATATCTGCGCCTGAAATATCAAATTTCTGAAGCATAAATAACAATAAAATTATTAATTAGTAAAGATATCTCTTCTCTGGTTCTCTAAATTGTTATTATCTGTCAATGCACTTAATTATTGGATTACCAGCTCTTTATTTTTAGAATGAATTTGATATAAAGTTATCAAGATGAATATGATTTTGGATAATATGATTATTTTTTCAACAATCAATTTGCAGAGTGTCATGACAAATAGCTGCAATTCATTTTTTCAATGAAGAAAATAAAAAATGTGGAATTACAATTCGTTAATATTGATGTTTTATTTGGTTCATTTCATTTAATTCATAGATTCATTAATTTGAAAAATATAATGAACGGTAATATTTTCACTATAAATGTTTTTAAGAAAATTGTGAACACTCCTTATTTGAAAATGAAATTAGATCCATAAATATTTGTGAATTGGCACCTCTGAAAAACCCAGCGGGGGTATTTCTCACTACTGGACAGTTCTAGTTTAATATTTAAGTAAGTCATCATTTTATCAAAATAAATCTTGATCCATTATTCTTTTTATATGAATCGTATTTATTCTCATTTTCTAAATATTTTAAAAACAATATTAAGCAGGGACAGCTTTTGAGCTCACTTGAGCTTTTCTGATCACCTGTTTTTCTGTCAGTAAACGTTTCTTATTCTGACCAATTGACCAATTTCATCCAAACTTGCCAGATTATCATTATGTAAAATAGTTCTAAAATGATACAATTGAAGGACATTATGCCCAACCAAATCAAGAAAAGTAAATATAACACGGGCTATTTTGGAATCTTCTCAAAAACAGGGGCAAAAAAATACATATTTGGAATATTCTTGACTTTTTAGAGGGGAATCTTGGTCAGAATGGGATCAAAACAGTTAACAAAATTTGAAGATGAAACATGTAGGTGAAAAATCTGAAGAAAAGCATATCCTTTAATAGTCATTTCAACAAGCGCACATTCTGAATTATTTCAAAATGGAAGCATCTTCAGGTAGTATGGTTCAAATCATGACATGTGGGAGTAGGATTGGGCCAGAATGGATAATCAAAGTTCTTCATAGAAATATATAGGAGAAATTTTATTAAATCTTCTTCTCAAGAACAGTAAAGCCATGACAGGTCTATTATATTGCAGCATTCGCAGGTAGTATACCTAGGTTCAAGTTTGTTCTAATCATAACGCCTTGGGGTAGGGCAGGAACACAATGGATAATCAAAGTTTCACGTAGGAATATAAAGAAAATTTCGTCTTCACAGGAACAGCAAAGTCATGATTGGTCATATTTGCAAGCATCCTCAGGTAGTGTAGATCAAGTCTGTTCAAATCATGACTCCCGTGGGTAAGGTGGGGCCACAATAGATGATCAAATTTTTTTTCTTAGAAATATGTATAGGAAAAATTCTTTTATATTCTTCTTCTCAATATTATATTTATATGAAAGCATCTTCAGATATTGTAGATTCAGATTTGTTCAAATCAAGACCCCAAGGGGTAGGGTTGGACCACAATGAAAGTTCAAACCTCTTTGAAAAAAGCCACAGTTTGTCAAAGAAATATGTAAGCATTCTAAGTTGGTGTACAGATTCAAGTTGGTCAGTACCATTTATGCATTTATACCTTTAACCTGATTTCATCTTTTTTTCCTAGTCACAGTGTTCAGGTAAGCGATGTGGCCCATGGGCCTCTTGTTTAATATAAGTCAAGGTTTACTATGTATTGCTTACAATATATAGGGCAAAACCTCAGCTGGTTCATGTGGTATTGAGCAGATTAGAGGTCGAGATCACACAGAACCTGAATTTATCATCAATGTTATGGCTGAGGATGACAGAAGTAATGTTAATCTACACTTAGACATAGGAACAGTACCTGGAGGCTCAAATGTCATGTCCAGAAAACAACTTGGAGGATTTTCTACTGCTTTGAGTGATGTAATTAGTATTTTATCATTTTTCATAAGTATGGCTGTGGAATATATATATATGTATTTCTTCTGTCCTTCCATCCTTCTGTCTGTCCTTTTGTTGCACTTTGAGTTAAGCTAGGTTTCTAAGGAACTATTCTAAATATTATTATCAAACTTCTTTAATGATGCTATAACGGTTGATTCAAACATCCGTTGGAACATTTATTAACTGTGTCAGTTATTTTTCTTTTAATATATATCAAGTTATTTTGAACACTATCATTTTTTCTTATTTAATGATATGCAAGGAGAATTATATAAGCCTTTACTAAGATCTATGGAGGATTTTACAAAGACGCACATATGGCTTGTATTACTAATTCAGTGTATAATTAGAAGATTGTGATAAATAAAAAGTATATTTTTAAAAATTGTAGATCCTGAGTCCAGCTGGAGTCCCTCTGTATTTCACAGTCCATGTGTCCAATGAGGCAGGAGTGAGTGTTCCAGCCTCCTGTAAACTAGACACGTATGACATGACAATACCAGGTGGAAGGATGGCAGAGGCCTTTACCTCCACCAGTAATCCTAATGTTCTAAAGGCAGTAGTCACAGTGTATGAAGACTCACCCGTCACAGAGACCAAAATAGCTGTTGGGTATGGCAAAAGCATTTGGGGAGAACAAATCATCAGATGGACAAATGTCTCATTAGCTGCCAATTCTGTTGATTATGATGTTGGTGAGTGAATTCTTTATGCATTAATTGAGGTGATAACTTGGACAGACCATATAGTACACTCCAAGCACCACTGACATGTTTGAGAAATGTTCTGACCCCTAATGGCAGCTCAAGACCAGGGTAAAATTGTTCAAATGAGGGTCTACTCCAAGGTCTTCAGTTCAGATAGAAAGATCTTGTCACAAGGATGATACTTGTAAAATAAAATCATTAAAAGGCCTAACACAAACCATTCTAAAAATATGGCCAAACTTAAGGGGTTTTTTTTCAAAAGTAGGTCATAAAATTTAAGTCATGAGATAAAAAAATGTTGGTACGAAAAAAAAGACTTTTCACAATTAAGAAATAAATAAAAAATAGGAAAGCCAAAGCATAAACTGTTTAAGAGTAATAGACAAGTTTAAAGATTATTTTTATCCATGTTGATCAAACTCAAGGCCAAGGTCCTGAGGTCAAAAATAAAGGTACCCCAAGAATGGTCTTATCATGAGGAGTACTCATTTGATAAAAAGAAAGCTGTAGCACCAACTGTTCAAAACTTTTGGCAAAAGTTAAACTAAACAGAAAGTGGGTTAATCTCCAAAGACTAGTCAAGGCCAAACAGTATAAAAAGATTGTATGCAGAGAATGATTTTTTTTATATAAGGACACATTCGGAATATGAAATCCCAAGCAATCCATTGAAAAGTTATGACAATTAGGTTTAATTTATACCATTTTGGAAAAGTGGGTGGAACTACACAATCAAGAGGTCAGATATGGTGGTACTCAAAGAAAAGTATCACAATACCATGACTTTGATGATTAATAACATTTGAAAAAACTCACAAAACTGAACAGATTTAGCTTATAAGCTTCTGTCTTGATCATCTCATGAAGTTGAGGTCATTGCAAGTACATGGGAATTTTTTTGGTACTTTCTAAATGATTAAAAGAAAAAAGAGCCATGGTAGTTAATTAAAAGTAATATTGATTAAATTTCTTATTTTAGGTCATGATCCTTTGAATCAGAAAGTGATTAAATTGTTTTCATCCGGAAAGACTGGGAGACTTGTAGGAAGGGGCATCAAAGCAGCAGAGTTCTCCAAGATAACAACTAAAGAGGAATGTGCAGAAAAGTGCAATGGAATGCATGTAACAAAATGCCTTAGTTTTAATTATGATTATGGACCTTCTGGACATTGTGAACTTCTGGAGGCCATTGAAGGACACGACCACAAAATTTCACGCGTAAGTATTGCTAGCAGAAAGAAATATTGACAAGGTCTTTTACCTTGCCTTCCTTGCAGTTTTTGGGGCTCCACTTTGGTCCTTTGATCATTCATCTGTCAAACTACACAAATATTTTTTGGTCTATAAGGTGAAAAATGAAAATAATTGCCATGAACATTTTTCATTTATTTGAGAATTTAACATACGTCTAGGATTTGTCTACAGACTATAGTGATATACCAACTATGTACAATGTAGATGGATTATTACCTAACAGAGAAAAATCTGTACAAATTCAGATCATTTGGTCAGAAATGTGAAAATTTGTAATATTTTTCAACTTACAATCTCCATATTTACAACAAACTGTCTTTTTTTTTTAAGATTCAAACTAGTTAAGATTATTATTATCAAATTTTAATAGGATGGCTATTACGTGCACTTTGAGAAGCTTGGAGTGGGTTCCAACAGAGGATTTGTGTATGAAAATGTACAGCTACCACACAACCATATCATACACTTCAATTTCCATGCTGTGAACAGTCTAGGATTTGAGAACATACTGTCATCCAAACCCATTCTAACAGATTATACACCTCCAGATCCAACATCTTGTAAGTATTATCTACAGTAGAAAGAATATGAAGTAAAGAGTAAATATGATTGATTTTCTGGTCACCTGAGTTGCTTTAAGTCTTCATCCGTCATGCATTAAAGCAACTTTGATGTCAGAAAATTTTAGTTGCAAAAATGTAATTTACTACTTCAATGACAGAGAAAAAGAATATTTCTAAACTTTTATTACTCATATTTGCAATGGAAGAACTATTTATAAGCTGTGATTGAAGCAAAATTACATTATTGTCCTCCTGTACAATATTGATTTCTTAAATAATCTTATATATTTAACTGTACAAAAGTCTTTCTTCTGAAACAGATTAGTACTTTATTTTAGTCCAATTGTTCACAAAGGTTTAAATTACATAAATATTTATCAAAATAACACATTTTAACAGCCAAATAAAATTATCAAAAATGCAGCTCATATTGCTTTAACTTTGAATATCTCAAGTGCCATATTAGGCATCCTTGGATGAAGTTGATTCAGCTTTTTAGCTTGCAAAAGCCTTCAAAGAGGAGTGGCAGGACTAATGGGGAAATTTTACCCAAACATATCACAGAGTGCCCTTGGGTAGTGTTAATTCAAATCAAACAAAGTACTATAACCTCTTTTAAGGTCAGACGACACCTTCCTCAAATATATGTTTTGTATCCCTTGGTGGTATATAAAAATTATTCATATTTGTCATTCTCTTCTGATTTCTACATTGTTTTTAAAATGATTTTAAATATAAGTACACCAAATTGATGCTATAAGCCATTCAGGAGATAATCCATAAGGGTTATATAAGAAATGTAGCCCTGTGATATCTTGTCCAAATGCCTGGTAAGATACCCTAATTTTTGTGAGGAAAGTTACTTAAGTACGTATATTTCAATGACAAATTCTTAGGAAAATTTATATATTTTTGAGAAACGTGTCGTCTGACCTTAAGTTGACATGATAAAGGAATAGTGAAAATTGGATGGGGTCAGTGTAAAATCCCATCCTCAAGAACAACATCCAATAAAGGTGACATTTTAGTGAAAGCTTTCTGAGGAAGGATAGATTCAGATTTCTTCAAATCATAACCCTGAATCATGTTTGAATCAATGGGGTAAGTTAGGGCCACTTTGTTCGATCAAAGTTTAACATGGCAGCTCATAGCAAAAATCTGACAGAAAATTCATGATTATAGTCATATTAATACTGGAGACCTAAGCAGGTAATGTAGATTCGGGTTCAAATCATGGGAATTTGAGGGGAGAATAGACAATATGGCAAGGACCTTCCTTATGACTCTAAAACGGACCTGTTGTTGATTCTCAGGATCAAATTAACATATTGATGAATTTGGTTGTTTATTTGCACAATGTTTATCCAGATTCATTTGAATTTTTTCTGTATTTTGTATCGAATTCAATATTGGTATATCCTGATTTTAGGGCAAATAAATATCACAAGTGACAAATCGGAAACCATAAAGTGTGAGGATGTGATTCCTGATGATAGAGATGACTGGGAAGAGAGATTCTGTGAAGGAGTGAATCCAAAGACAAAGAATCACAGAATCATCACAGATGGAGAGGGCTCAGAGACGGTCTATAATGGCCATACTAACAAGAATGACCTCAAGTATACCAGGGCTAATAGATATATATCTGGTAATGACAAATGTTTCGGACTAACACTTAAAGCTCAAAAACAATTTATGCTCGAATTAAAATAACCATAAATATTGAATTGTGTTTCCTTATCATCATATTTTCAATTTATGATGTTTGATTGCATGTTTAAAAGAAGGACTTGCAATAATTTATATATTTTTAGCCAACTGGGATGGTATCTATGACAATGAGACAGGAATTCTGGGATACTCGGTGACAGCTGGGGAGTCAATCTGTGAGGAGAAAATAAAGCAGCATCACGATCCTCATGCTCACCTGTTTGACCGGTCACAGTGGACTCATACTGTGATGATGTCTCCATTGGAGGAACCATACACTGTTTTAGCAGGTGTGATTTATACCCAATATTTTACATCTGATTCAGAATACATGACTTATTTTGAATTATTGGTGAAGTTTTAAGCTGTAATTATAGGAGTTTATTTTTGAAACAGCTATCACAATTTGCTGAATTTGTAGAAAAATGCAAACTTTTATTCCAAGTTTCTGTAATTTTAGATGGACCCTATTATGTAACTGTAAGAGCTATAAACAACATCAAGTATGGTGGAGCATTGTGTACAAGTGTCTGTCACTCTGCACCTTACATTGTGGATAACAGTCCGCCCTTGGTTTATGAAGTATACAATGTCCGCTACAATGAGGATAAGTTCAACCTCTCACTGACTCACAATTCATCGTATGTACAGAATCATTTTCTTGCATTTTGTTACAGTTTTCTTAAAGTAAGCCTCAAGTTTGGTAATGTTTTTGGTATGTCCACAACTTCCAATTTTTTCGTAACTTTTTTAACTATCTAAAATAAAGAAATCCATATTATGTCACATTATCATGACAGATAGTGGCCATACTCACAGGGTATAGAACTCGGTGTTTATGTTGTGTTACAGAACACTTCTTCATAAAGTTTATAATTTTTTCTAATCAGTAGAAAATAAGTTTTGTTATTAAAAGTTATTTACCAGACTGCCAGGACCTTTATACATTTCAGTGATCCAAACTCTGGTGTGATTAGAAATGACCTGTGTCTGGGTAGGACCACAAGAGACTGTGATGAGCTGATGTGGCTCCCCATGGAATACAATCAAAATCTGACCTACCTCTATAAGGTTACAGAGGGGGTCCCCATTTGGATTAAAATCAAAGTTGTGAATAATGGTACTGACATTTGCTCAGCTGATTTTGTACAAATTTTAAATTTAAATGTGTTTGGGATTCATGTCATTTGACTTTTATGAGAGGTTTTGCGTGTCCTTTTTGCAGTGGACCTAAGAACAATAGGTATATGTGATTCCCCTCTCATAGTGGACAGATCTCCCCCCGTAGCTGGTGTGGTCAATGATGGAGAAATACCTAGAATAGATCTTAGTTACATCAAATACAAGGAGAAGGTCAGGAAACTTGGTTTTAGGAAACTTAAGTTAGGTGAATATGTATTTTTGATACCAAAGTAATGTCATGTTAATGACTTCACATAAAACTTTCAGATTTGCAGCAATTGGAAGGATTTCTATGATCCTCAATCAGGAATTGCTATGTACATGGTGGGTGTAGGTTCTTCTCCTAATGAAACAGATGTTGCCAACTTCACCCAGTACTCCAGTAAATCTCATGTTGCTTGTGTAGAGTTGAGTCCAGAGAAATATCTACAGCACAACCAGAAATACTTCACTACTGTGTTTGCCTACAATGGAGGTCACATACAACAGAATGTGTCAGCCATCTCAAATGGAGGTATTAAATGTTTCATATTATTAGCTCACCTCGACGAAGTCGAGATGAGCTTTTGCTATACCCCCGGCGTTGGAGTCGACGTTAGCGTCGGCGTCCCAGCCCAGGTTAAAGTTTTAGGAGCAAGTCCATTCCAAAGTAATTATAAACCCTACCCGGACCAAATTGCATGGATGATGTATCTAGGGATAGACACTATCAGACATGCTTCAGATGCTGGATCTGACCTACATTTTCCAGATGAGTGATCAGGTTAAAGTTTTTGAAGCAGGTCCATTCCCAAGGAACTATAAGCCCTACCTGGACCAAACTTGCATGGATGATGCATCTAGGAATGGACAATACCAGACTTGCTTCGGATGCTGGATCTGATCTACATTTTCATTCTCAAGTAACTATAAGAGATACCCGAACCAAACTTGCATGGATGATACATCTAGGGATGGACATTACCAGACTTGCTTCGGATGCTGGATCTGACCAAAATTTTAATTCCCAAGTAACTATAAGCCCTACCTGAACCAAACTTGCATGGATGATGCATCTAGGGATGGACACAACCAGACTTGCTTCGGATGCTGAATCTGACCTATATTTTCCATACAAGAGACTATGTTAAAGTTTTGGGAACAGATTAATCCCAATGAACTTGAAGTCCTTGATATCTGCAGTATTAACAAATTTATTAATATTTATTTACACTATACACATTTTTCACGCTATATGCGTAGAAATATGTATATGCCATGTAAGGGGTTAAACACAACTTGCAAGAATATTGTTGTTGGGATAAATACTAGATATTAAGATAATATGATGTGAGATTTGCATAAGTTACACTGATAACATTCGTCGAGGTGAGCTTCAAAATCTTTGATTACCTATGTTTTTATATCTATGGTCTCTTGCTACTTTTTGTTGCTTATATTGATGCACATCAAAAAGAACACTGATAAAACCTCTTTTAATTGTTGTACAGTTTTAGTTGACCTTACAAAACCAGTTCCTGGACAGGTTGTAGATGGGAACTTGCCAAATTTTACAGATCTGATATACACAACAAGCCAAGCTAAAGTTGATCTACAGTGGAAAAACTTCTATGATCCAGAGTCTGGCATAAGTCATTATGATGTCAAAGTCTTCAGAGCTAAGTAAGTTTACTTGAATGTGTTAATTTGACAAGTTTTGTTTATACCTGCATAGAAAGGTTGACATACATTTTTACACTATGTGTGTATTACCTCAAGTAAATTTAAATTGAAAATCTCAGAGGAAAGTCTTTTTTGCAAATAAAAAGGTGTTTTCCCAAGTTAGTTATCAAGTTTTGTTTGACAGGCTTCCTTTTCATTTTATACCAGTTACTTGAGGTAACAGTAAAGCATCTAAAGATTTCATTGAGTTGTATAATGTGAAAGGTCAAGGTTATTGATGTGTTTTGAATTGCATAAACTTGTAAAATAGTCAATACTTTTAGGTATGCCTATACGCGGGTTTGTTAAGGCAGCACATGGATCGGAATTCGGCGAATTAACACTTTTTTATAATTATGTAACACTAATAAATAGGAAAAGTCAAGGATAAAACTTTTACTATAATTATGCATTCTATAGACTTCAATGGGACTTATGCTACAGGAGCCAGTTCACCATGACGTAACCACGTGACGTCTATAATTAGAAAATATGCCTTAATGAAAAAGTGAAAAGTTTAACACTACCCCGGGGATAATTAATTCCAATTTATATCAATAGTTATGTAAAAATATCTCTGTACCATGAAAAGTGCTGCTAGAATCCTACTGTCCTCCTATAGAAATAATTATTCAACAATTTCGTACGAAACCCTCCCAAAATTTTTACATTTTGTTCATAATATCGAAAAAAATGCATCAATTCCCGTAACCCATACGATTCTAGCAGCACTTTCCAAAAACAAAAGAATAAGAACTTTAAATAGAAACAAAAATTAAGTTGCAAGGTATGCGGCGTAGTGTTGAACTTTTGCATCTTTTTTGTTACAAACGACAGAGGAAAGGCTGATCGGCAAGTAAACAGCCGCCCTGCTTTAATTTTACGAAGAAATTTCAGAATTATATTACCATACCTTGTTCATACGCTTTATTCCCACAAGAATCACACATGATATTCATTCTAAATGCTTTTAAACTACGATTTCTTGTGTTTGTTTACATCAATTCTCGTTACTTTTCACTTTCACTCTGCTACTGCATGATCAACAGTTATAACGTCACGGGTTTGGTATGTAACCCCTGTGATAACTACAGAGGCCCAGGAACGAC